GCTGACTATCGGCGTGAAAAACCAAAATGACCCCAGAAGCGCCAACGAGGATAAATACAGCATAAGGCAGTGTTTGACCTTTATTCTATCCAAGACCGCGCCCCAGCCTATTTCACTTAAGGTGGAGACGGCAGCTGTAACCATGGCAACGTTCGTCAGGAAGTGGTCGTGTTTAATCCATATCTGCCCGTAAGTCTTGTAGAAGTTCGTCATTATTAGATACCCGTATTCGGTGGCTATGGCGCAAAACCACAAGATATAGAAAGTCTTGGTTTGTAACATTTGCCAAGTCGTGAGATCTTCTGTGGATTTTGTTTTCTCGTGTGCGTGGCCTAGATCGGAGCTGTCTTTATTCTGGTTCTGTCTTCTTCCATTGCAGGCTTCGTCAACATGAACACTTTCGTGATGTGTTGAAGTTAAACCCTTATAGCTGTCAACACAAGATCTCTCTAATGACGTGTCTCTAATATCGTCCGAGGTCTCCGTTGTATTCTGGGTTCTGTTTGACGTAAACCCGTGATTTTCCTTATTATCTAAATTGTCCGTGTGCATATTGCTAACTGCATCGGACGATCCATTACAATCAATGTTTGGAAGACGGCTTATCTGATTACATTCAGGCGATAAATACCCTTTTGCTGCACTGTAAGTCTCATGGCGAACGGAACTCACTATTGGCATCCTCTCCCCCTCAGTTGTACCAGTTGGCGTCAGTTGCCCTAAACTCATAGAACCGCTATATGTACTCATCTCCACGCCAGAAGTATCTCCTTTGTGCTCTTGTTTGTCCGGATTGTCCCGAATGAGCAGACATCCAATCAGCTGCGTGCAGAATGCGATGGCACCAAAGACGAGAAACATACTTGGGATTCTCTCGATGACGCTCGTCTGCGTGAAGTAGACATTGTTCCCGTCTTTGACGTCCGGCGACAGGTTGTGTGGGTTTATGTACAACGTCACAAACTGATTTATCAAGATGGATCCACCGCTGTAGCTCGACGCAACGAGTGCTGAAACAAAAGCCACGTGATGGTCACTCCAGGCCAAGACGTAGTAGAGCAGCTGACCCTGATTGATTCCAGCCCCCAATCCCGCCAACACTCCCATGGTGCCCGTCATGGCCGAGGCTGCGCTGTTGAGAGACAAATAACTCAGCAAAATCCCGGATACAAATAAGAGGAAGCTGACAATGTTGGTCCACGCTCTGCCGATAAGACGGGCCGTCCGCTCGGTGATGATCAGACCTGCTGTGAACGCAATCATAAATATGGAGATGACCCATGGGGTTCCGAACCCGGAATGAGGTCCCAGTGTTGCTCGGTAGTGGGAGTCGGTGTAGACAGACATGTTGCCCCAGTACCAGGAGACCCCTGTGGTGATGTTTTTAAGAAAACATCCAAGGAGTGTAGCACGTTTCATCCATTTGTATTGATTGCCTCGTTGCGCCATTGTTGCAGTTCTTGAATATACATGTAAGGGGGAAAATACAATTAAAATTGGTTAGATTATTTGTGGAGTGTATAAAAGGCTCATTATTGAGATCAGTATTTCGAAAATAAAATAACTTCTAAGCATTGCCGTTGAGATATGACGATAAAAAACTGTAGTATCCAAGTGAAAAATAATTGTGTTGCATATATGAGCAGGGGCGTGGGAACGAGATTGTGGTCCGCCTAGGGCGGCTTTTTTTATATGGGGGTAATGTTGTTTTTTTACCGTCCGCGAGTTTTTTCTAGGAAGGGGGGTTGCAAAAATTTTTGTCCGCCCTTACTCTTTGCTAAGTCACTGTATTTGAGGTGCTTTTAAATCGCCATTTGTAGGTGTCTACTCGACATCCATTGCTCATCGCTCTATTCGAAAACTTAATAGGAAGGTAAAAGATAAAGGATAAATTATGAGTGTGTACATAATAAATAATTTTACAAATTAAAAAAAAACTACATATGATACCGATGTCAGTAGATATGTTAATGTCCGTGAGCAGTGGTGGGATAAAGCCGGCTCAGTGAGTCAATTAAGTCCTTGACTGTAATCCGCCCACTTTTAGACATGACGATTAATGGGTGGCCAATGTGTAGCCCCCCCCCAACCCCCATTAATCCCCAAACCAAAAGCCCCAGGATTAAAACTTAATCCCTTTTTCCGAGTGGTGAGTTGTTAGTGGCGGGGAGTTTTTAATATTAAGTTATAAATTCTAGAAATACGGGTCCTGATACCTTTAGCCTTTTATGGGTTCTTAGAACTTAAGCATTTTACTTTTATTGGTTCTTAGAACTTAAGCATTTTACTTTTATTGGTTCTTAGACATTAAGCCTTTTATTGGTTTTTAGTACTCTAGCCTTTTATCGGTTCTTAGAACTTTAGCCTTTTATCTGCTCTTAGAACGTAAGACTTTTATCTGTTCTTATAACTTCAGCCTTTTATTGCTTCGTAGAACTTAAGCCTTTTTTATGGTTCTTAAAGTGGTAGAAGAAAAAGCTGAAAACTGAAGAAAAAGGAAAATGTAAGGCGTTAAAATATGACCAGATTTTAACGCAAGGCACGTGATGTGTTCAGGTCTGCTTCTCAAACATCGAATCATTAATCCATAATTTGCTCACTCTCTATAAATAGAGCCCTCGTGCAAAGATAATCATCTTCCATCGAGCGCCTCCCCAGAAGGCGGATTGGGGAGAGCCCACCAGATATGGTAATTAAAAAACCCGGGGCGGACCAAAATCAGAGCCTATTGCCTTCTAAGAAGTGGAGGGATCTACAAAGGGTAGGGAATCTGTGTAGACTAGGAGTTTCAGCCAACCTAATGGATCAAAAAATTAAAATTAAAAATCTATATTGCTGCATTGCAAGAAATTCGAAGGAAAATGCAGACCTGCTCAAGACAAAAGACTACAGCATATTTTATAGTGGCAACAACACTAAACCTCTTGGAACAGGATTTGCAGTGAAGAAAGAATCCGTAGGTGTAGTCATAGTTTTAAACCAGAGAATGAAAGATTGCGCTCTTTGCGTGGGCGAGGAAAAATGTTTGATATAACTTTTATAAATGTTCATGCTCCCACCGAAGATACAAAATGTCAGATGAAAGAATCCTTTTATGAGACGCTGGAACAGATCTATGATGAGTCACCACGATATGATATTAAAATAGTGATTTGCGACTGTAATGCCAAAGTAGGGAAAGAAAAAGAGTTTATGTTAGCTGTAGGCAAGGAGAGTCTACATGAAGAATCCAATGACAATGGGATCCTACTCATAGATTTTGATTCAGAAAAAGAGATGACAGCTGCACGCAGTTTCCACACAAAAATATACAGAAATTTACTTCGAACTCACCAGATGGAATCACACACATCCAAATTGACCATGTTATAATCGATCGGGTGCATGGATCAGGCATACTGGAGGTAAGAAACCGTCGATGAGCAGACGAAGAGTTCGACCAAGATATACATCACACAAAGAGAACAATCTTGTAAGGCTCCTGCCTGTAAGTAGATTACCTCTAGCAAAAATCTCTCCCGGCATTGAAAGCTGTCGGCTTATTTATAGGGAGGGTGTTAGAACCACCCGGAAAAGAACTTATAGAAATTTCATTAACCGATATTAATTAGAACGTAATTTTTTTTTTCCAAATCAAGGTGGGTGTGGTCGAGCACTACACATTTAATCGATGACATCAATACCAAAACAAAAGGGGGGTATAGAATTAGTGGCACAATGTAGCTCTACGCTGAAGTCAAAACAACTAGGCGAACACACCGGTAATAGCAATATATTAGACAATTCGCTTACTGGGTGATCACTTGGTGACCGATTTGAAGCTCTCGCCGAAGACGTACTCAAGCAGCTCACAAGGAAGCAAAAGACTGACAGCGGTTTGAATCACCATAGAGGTTTTCGTTTTGAGATTTAAAAAAAAAAAAAAATTGTTGTAGTGGGCAAGTTGACTGGGATCAGTGGAGATGAACAAAAATATGAACTTAACGAAACAATTCATAATGGATAAAGACTTCGAGGGGGATCCATTTGTTTACGAGGGCGCCTTCTCTTTCCCTTCTCCTAAATTTAAACAAAAAAAATATATTTTTTAAAAACTATATTTTAGCGTTGCGCCATATGGGCTTCTTGGCACCCTCGGAGAAACCTTTGATTAGTCGTTGGAATGAGTTCTAATCCCAAGTCTCCTTTAAAAAGAAGAAAAAAACACACTCTCAAATGGTTTTACAGAAAATAAGAAATTGTTCTTTTCAAGAATCGAAAAGGGAGTTGGCTTTCTTACTTCTTTCAAAACGTAAACGCGTCTGATAACTAACAAACTAACTAAGCTAAACTAAACTACCTAACCAACCAACCAACCAATCAACTAACTAACTAACTAACTAACTAACTAACTAACTAACTAACTAACTGACTGACTGACTGACTGACTGACTGACTGACTGACTGACTGACTGACTGACTGACTGACTGACTGACTGACTGACTGACTGACTGACTGACTGACTGACTGACTGACTGACTGACTGACTGACT